GAAAAGGAGCTGGTTAAGGGATCTCCTGGATTAACTTTTTCATTTAACAGGCCGTGGCAGATGTGCATTAAATAAATAAATGTTAAAAAAAATATCTGGTGTGTCCACTCACACGACTTTCCTACCTATTTCAGAAAAGTTTTTATATCTTTACATATGTTCATGAAGAAACAAAAAAGAATTAAACTAGATACATTTTCCTGAAAATTAATCAAACAGAAGATTTATTTGATAAACTAAAGCAATGTAAACCAGCTTAAGTTAGATCAGTGTAAAAATTTCAACACTTACTAATATTGCTGATCAAAAACTTTTTAGCATAGCTTAGTATTGTCAAACAATAATTTCTGTTAAAAGTAGAGGAAATAGTGAAGCTTGTGTAATGCGGGCAACAGATTTTCTTACTTTCACTTAGTCATCTTTATTCTCTCATTCACCCCTTTCTGACACCAGGATATGAAACCGTAATCTTGCATTGGAAATTTAATAGCTGTAACTTCGTTAATAGTTGTCAAAAATGAACGATTTTTATATGGCTTTGTAGGAAATTTCAATACCTTTAAAACGGCGTATTTGTCGGACTCAAGGAGCTCTGAAACGTATAGATCCGTCGAAAACCGCATGTCGGAAATTTGACCCGGTTGCAATACTTTCCTTACCTAGGTAGGAAAATAATAAGTTTAAAAAGTGTGTAAAAAAAAAAATAGAATACGCTGTATCATTGCTAATACTGGTTCGATTCCGATGATTTTTATTTTTTGTTTTGTTGGTAATTTAATTTTTTTTTTTTTTTTTTTTTTTTTCCTACCCCCCCCCCAGGAATTTCTTGAATAAATACAGTATGTATATAAATGTGTATATACATAAATTTTCAACTTTCCTTTTATTGCCCAAGGGCATTTTAAGGTAGAGAGCTCTGCACGCTGTATGCGTTTTTTGCATCTGTGCATCTAAATTATCTGGTAATTTAATTACCTTTCAAAAGTTTTATTATAAATTTTACCGTATAATATATACTTCGGGAGTTAGGCCCCATAACATTTTTCGTTTCTTTATAACTTTTTATCGGGAATTTAGTCTATACACGAAAAATGAAAGAACAATGATTAGAATATTATAAGAAAGTTTCATCAAAATCGTCAGAGCCGTTTTTGCGCTACAGTCTATAGAAAAACATGTTTTTCATTTACTGTGTGCAAGCTATTCAATATTCAATAGTCAAAACCCTACAAAATAAAAAAAGAAGCAACATAATCGGTTCAGTAGTTCAGACAGACAGACAGACAGAACAATGGCTAAAAATGTGTTTTTCGGACTCAGAGGGCTCTGAAACGTATAGATCCGTCGAAAACCGCATGTCCGAAATTTGACCCGATTGCAATACTTTCCTTACCTAGTATAGGTAGGAAAATAAAAAGGTTCGTAGTTAGGGACACACTTAAATATGAAATAGCCATTTATATATTTCTTTGTCCCATAGATTGTGAAATGTCTAAACACACCTTAATATCTACAACCTTACCCGATAGAAACCAATCACCGCTCTCCATTAAAATATATACATTTTTAAATTAACACAAACAAATTCGGTTAACTACCAATGATAACCTACATACTTTTAGGTTTTGGATAAAAGAAGATCAAAAATAACCAGGATTATTCGGAGGTGAGGAAGTGTTCTAAGCTGTTATGGCTCCGTGCTGTTTATGAACCACTGAATAATTAACAACATGTTCTCCACCACGTAAGCAATGAGCAATGGTAGCTTTATCGATAAATTTAATCAACTATTTATTTGTATTTCTTGCATTTAAAATCATTACACGTTGCTATCGGTTTCAGATTATATTGAAGATTTTCTTTGGAGTCAACGAAATGTGTTTCTGTTTGTACTGGCTATTGTCACATTATAATAAAGTCATTTCACATTATTTTCATATGTAATTTAAATGAAATATATTTAGTCCTCCGGAAGACGCTTAATTGTCCATGGTACAAATTAAGCGTCCCTTTTTATCAAATTATTAATATCCGCCTAAAACTTCGTGAATAGCTTCATCTCATCGTAACCTATTACTATTTTATTTATAAAAACTCTTAGAATTGGGGCATTTTCAATCTACATATCGGCAAACTTTATCTATTTATTCAGATACTAAAAACTAGTAAATACCCATTTGCTTTCCACTTTGATCGTAAGATAATTTGATCACAAAATCGAGTAAAAAAATGGCCTACAAAGGTATTAAACCGTTTGGCCTATATAATCTCGTTATTTTGAAATGTTGGGTGAGTAGATCACGCTAAACGATTCAATATTTTTGTAGGCCACCCTTTTTCTCTATTTAGTTATCATATCTTACGATTCAAGTCGAAAGAAAATGAATATTAACGAGATTTTAGTACCTAATTAAATATACAAAGTTTTTCGATCTCCAAACTGAAAACGTCCCAATTCCGTGAATTTTCGTAAATAAAATATTTTTAGGCAACGAAGAGATGAAGTTTTTTACAATGTTAATAATTTGATAAAAAGGGGTCTGTACCAAGGAATATAGGCAGATATTTCCATCAAAAAGTGATTTATTTTTAGCAAGAAATCGTACTATAATTTAAAACCAGTTATAACACCTATCGGACATTATAAAGAATTTATTCATAAATTAATATTAAATATGGAGATAATATAAATAAAGAGCTTTATATTAATTCCGTAGAATAAATCACTTTTCTGATCTTTAAGATCGATAGATTGGGAAAGTTCCTAAACTCAATACTTATTCCATCTGTGGATTTCAGAAATCGATTGAATCTAGCGATGGTAGACAACTATTTATACTTTGTTTTAGGAACAACTGATGGATTCTAAAGGAAAAATAAAATTCCTATAAGGTTACAAAAAACATAAGAACTGAGTTCTAAGTGAAACTCTTAAATAAGTACCGTAAATAGTTTTCTGAAACAGATATAGAAACCTGTTTAAATTAAACAGCTTCCTGCAATGGATACAGAATCAGTCCTCTGAAACAGATACAGCCCTTTGAAACAGATTCAGTCCTACTGTATTTTATACTGTTTTGATAGTTGTTTCAATGAAACACCGGCCATTGCACTGTTTCAAAAAAAATGGCCTACAAAGGTATTGCATCTTTTGGCCTATATAATCTCGTTATTTTGAAATGATGGGCGAGTAGATCACGCCAAATAATTCAATATTTTTGTAGGCCACCCCTTTTCTCGATTTAGTTATCATATCTTACGATTCAAGTCGAAAGAAAATGAATATTTACGAGGTTTTAGTACCTAATTAAAGAGACAAAGTTTTTCGATCTCCAATTCCGTGAATTTTAGTAAATAAAATATTTTTAGACAACGAAGAGATGAAGTTTTTTACAAGGTTCAGGCGGATGTTAATAATTTGATAAAAAGGGGTCTGTACCACGGAATATATTTCGATCAAAAAGTGATTTATTTTTAGTAAGAAATCGTAATATAATTTAAAACCAGTTATAACACCTATCAGACATTATAAAGAATTTATTCATAAATTAATATTAAATATGGAGATAATATAAATAAAGAGCTTTATATTAATTCCGTGGAATAAATCCCTTTTCTGATCTTCAAGAGCGATAGATTGGGAAAGTTCCTAAACTCAATACTTATTCCATCTATGGATTTCAGAAATCGATTGAATCTAGCGATGGTAGACAACTATTTATACTTTGTTCTAGGAACAACTGATGGATTCTAAAGGAAAAATAAAATTCCTATAAGATTACAAAAAACATTAGAACTGAGTCTAAGTGAAACTCTTAGCTGAACACACCTCCCTGAAGAAGACCTGCAAAGTCGGGTCGAAACGTTGGCTTTTAATAAAATAGTTTTGCCACTATTTAGCCTATTTATGATCGCCACATCGGACCATCTCCTTCCTTTATAATGCAACGGTCAACTATTAAATATTCAAATACTAAATATGTTAAATCAAGATTGAAATAACCCCATTTCTGAACATTTTCGTAAATAAAAAAATTACGAAAGTTATTAAAAGATGAAACTATTCACGAAGTTTTAGAAGGATGTTAATAATTTGATGAAAAGGGGCCTGAACCAAAGACTGTTTAGTAGTCTAGAGCGCGAGGTACAAGATACTCGAAAAAAAAAAATAGAAAAATAGGGTTTTCGGTTATTGTACTAGGTACCGAGTCTGGTACAAACGCATCGAGAATCGAAACCAAACACACCATACAAATAAATAAATAACAATATTGGTCCATTCTTTCAAGACATAATCTTCATATGGACATGTAGACCAGTGGCCGAAAATACGTTTTGTTGTTACGCCGAAAATTTCACTCACTTGTATTACTTTCCTTGTTCAAGCGGTTAGGAAAGTAAAAAAAAAACTTAATTAGACTAATATTAGATAAGATAAAATATTTTTGAATTTGGACTTTGCAACGAAAGCAGGATAGTCGTGTGAGAGTGGACATACCAGATATTTATACATCATGATTTGAAAACAATAAACTTTTTATCAAAGAGACATTGAACTAATCGACCTTTGTACTAATTGGTGGGCTCGCCGCTTACGTAGAATGATTACGTAAAGAATAATAAAAATAAAAAAAAAAAGCTTGAAACAGCAATCGAATACAGAACTAAACTGAGATTGAACAATAATTTTCTATTTATTTAACCATCAAGCCTTACTTGTTTATAAAATTCGTTTAGAAATTAGCAAACATTTATTTATAATTTTCGAGCGAGGAGTGTTTCCTAATATATTTACAAAGATATTTCGAGCGCACAAGTTTTGTAACGAAGAAATACCTCTTGAACCGAGTATTGCCGAAGAAAGCCGAACTCAGTCGATTACTATCCCATTTATCAATTGCGACTGATAAGAGTATTTTCTTGTTATATAATTTTTAAAATGCAATTATAACTTTTATCCATACCATCACCAGTTGTAGTTTTGTTCTGAATTGAATATCATGGTTCCTCGAAAGAGAGTGTTGGACTTAATTCAGTCTATTTCTGCTGCGGCGTAAGTAGATGTTTTTTATTTGGAGAATATTTTATACAAAATAGGTTCTTAAAATTATTTTTATTTTTTATTTTAGCTGTAAATGCCCTGCTCATTCTCATGCTGGACCCGTGGTTATTACTGGTAGGAATTCAGGTTCCTGCGAAACAGCTTTGCCTCCAACTGATTATGCTTTTGAAGTAATTATTTATTTTTTTTTTTTGTTCAATTATTTTTAACTTGATTTTTATTCAATCGATATTTTTCGGTAGATGGCCTGTTCTACGATTAGGTATGGACCTGGAGTGACCAAAGAAATTGGGCAAGATATGGTTAACATGCATGTCAAGAATGTTTGTGTTATGACCGATCCTGTAATTGCTAAACTTTCCCCTGTAAAAGCTGTTCTCGATTCTCTTACGAAGAATAAAATCAACTTCAAAATTTACGACAAAGTAAGAGTCGAACCTACTGATAAGAGGTATGATTACAATTAGTGTTATTTTTATATCATTTGCCATATTCAAGAGAAATGAAATATTATTAATTTTTAAATTTTTGTTAGTTTTGAGGATGCCACTAACTTTGTAAGAGGAAACGACTTTGATTGTTACATAGCAGTTGGAGGCGGTTCTGTCATTGACACGTGTAAAGCTGCCAACTTGTATTCTTGTGACCCTGAAGCAGAATTTCTTGATTATGTTAACGCCCCCATTGGAAAAGGAAAACCTATCACGGTGCCTTTGAAGCCATTAATTGCAGGTATTATTGGCTTAAAATATACTTTCTAAAATATCTGGTATTGATAAATGAAACAATCTAAAACAAATATTTATTTTAGTTCCTACCACGTCTGGAACTGGTAGTGAAACAACTGGTGTCAGTATATTTGATTACGAGCCTTTGAAAGCGAAGACTGGTATTGCTAATAGAGCTCTCCGCCCTACCCTTGGCATTGTCGATCCATTACATACACTTACATTACCTGAGCGTGTTGTCGCATACAGTGGGTGAGAACATTCTATAATTTTTATATAAATATAATTGAAATTATGTTATTAATACTATTATATAAATTGATTTAATTAGGTTTATTATTGCTGTTATCTTTTGAATTTATTTTTATTTATTAGTCTGTATAATTTACGCTTTTTGAAGAAAATTCACTTAGTTTAATTTAATTTTAATCTAGTTATTTTTGTAGTTTATATAAAGCTTATTGTATTTCTAAATATTTTTTTTTGATTTGCTTCAAACTTAATGTTATCTTCCCTTTTATATTTTAGTCAGCATTTTTGGATTATTTATCCTTTATAAATCAAAAAAGATTGCTAATTGACCTGTGTTTATTATATCTGGATTATAGATTATCAAGAAATAAATTAAGATTCATTAGAAAAAAATAAAATAAAAATTTATTTTTCTATTATTACTAGCATTTTTCTTTTTTAATTGAAGTTAAATAATTTATTATTTTGTCTATAATTATGTTATTGACTATTTTGATGAATGCTACTTATTTATTATTTTTTTTTAAGAATAATGATTATTTCTTTCATAATCAAGAATTAAATTCTTTAGTAGAGAGAGAAAAAAAAAATGTTGAGATAAAAATAACGTAATTGTTAGATAACTCCTTAAAACAGCATATATTACGCAAGTTTTCTATTTACTCTTTTTTTATGTTTATGTAATTATCGATGTTTCAATTTGTGAATCCTATTCAAACATATACAATTTTAAAAATTTATTTATTCTTAAATTTTATATTTATTATAAATCACCTTAAGTATATTTCTGTTCCTATTGGATTTTACAAACTATGTTATTATTTCTCATTTTTTCTGCTTTTGTTATATAACACTTTCATAATCTAATAATTATACTCTTTTTAATTAAAATATTTTTCATATTATATTTCCAAAATTTTGAAATCATATATTACTTTTTTATATTTATTTTATTTTTTACGTCATTTTTTTTTTTTTAATATTATAAATATAAATCAATGGTTGAGTGTTGTAGTCCGTGAAAAACAGAATACTTTACATATATTTTCATATCTTATCATTACAATACAATCTTTATATATTATTTCTTAAAGTTTTTTTTTTTGTCACTACGCCATATCTTCATCAATTATTCATCAAATCCAATGATTGACTCTTTGAGTTATTTTGAAAATCTTCTTGAAAAATAGTCACATCTCTCAAAAATTTTTAGGAAAAATAATTATTAAGAAAAAGAACTTTATTTGTGAATAACTCAAAAATCATACATTTTTTTTGGATTGTACCCATAATTATTCGAAAAATCTCTAAATTCTATACAAAAAAAAAACTGAAATTGAACAATTTTTAGCACTGACTACAATCCTCAACTAATGTCTTAACCCTATTTATAATAGTATACATTTAGTTTCTTTATGTACATCATGGCATCAATACTACTAGTCCTTTCGTTAATGTAAAACAACATTAATATTTCTATATTTTTTGTTTTTAGTTTTGATGTATTTTGCCACGCTTTGGAATCTTTCACTGCTATTCCGTACAACGAGAGGGCACCCTGCCCACCTGACCCACTCCTTCGACCAGCGTACCAAGGTTCGAATCCGGTTTCTGATGTTTGGGCTCGATGCGCTCTTCAAATAATCAGAAACTATTTCAAAAGGTATTCTATGCCAAAAGTTATCAGTTTTCATTTTATTTCTAAATAGGTTTCTAATATAATTTTAATATTATGATATATTTTCTTTATCACCATTTAAGTGATTAATGTTTGTTTCTAATTTTATCTCTTTTTTTTGTTTAATTTTTGCCAGGATTTATACGTAAGGTAAACATTCAATCAATTAATATTTAATTTTTTTTTTAAGATTTGGTTTTTTATTAACATTAAAGCTTTTTAACAATCCTTTGTGTTAACTTTTTATTTATTATAATTTTATTCCAAGGCCATTGCAAAGTGAAAACCTCTTTATTACTCTAATTTGTCTAAATCATTTCTATAAGAAAGAGGGTGTATTATATTAAATATGCATAGAAATGTATACTTAAGCAAATTAGAATAGTTTTTAATATTAATTTTTCCTCAATAGTAGCATTGGAGCAAAGTGAAAATTAAAAAATTTAGACAAAAATCATTTTGGAGTTTTATTAAAAGTAAATATTTTTCTTGAAGAGAAGAATGGTTAGGGTGATTAGTAAAAAAAAAAAAAAATAAAAAAAAATAGTAAAAATAAATGATTATATTTATTTTTATTTTTTTTGACTGATCACTCCAACTATTCTTCTCTTTAATTATTCACTACAAACACAAATATTTTTTTATATGAAGAAACTTTACTTAAAATATAATTCTTTACATTTTTTATATAAAATTTAGATTTAAATTTTAAATTCAGAATAAAAATTTATCGTAAAGTTTACTGTTGGTTTTTAAATATTAATACGCTAGGGATCTAGAAAATAAAACTTTTTGAAGGAGATGGCCCATGTATGAGTCATATATAACAAAAAATAGTTTTTTAACTATTATTTTACTTGAATAATTAATAAAACTAAATTATTAAAATAATTCAATTTTCAAGTCAGCAATTTCTGATTCAAGGTTTGGCCTGGTTTACAAACCATGTAATATGTAATATAAACTTGGTTTATAAATTCATTAAAGTAAGAATTAACATAGTTACGTAATAAGCTAGATTTTTATGCTTATAAAAAATGGAATTTTTTAACTTGAGGTTATTATGTTTTAAAATTAAATAAAAAGTAATAGCAATTTGAAAGAGCAATAAAATTTAACTATTATCACTGCCAACCTTTTTAATTTGTGAATTTTCTTTTTTTGTATACAGCGTATCTCAGTTGTTAAATGGGAAACTCTGAGGGGGGAGGGGGAGAGAGAAGGTGATTCTAGACCAAATTTCTAACAAAAAAGTTTATTTGATGAATGGGCCGATTCCGAATAAAAAAGAGTTCAGATCAATTTTGTATTTTTTTAAGGTGGTCATTTTTTTTATTGAATAAGAAGAAATTGCTCAAAAAATGTTCATGATTAAATTCTATGTACACTATCGTAAAGTAGACAACATTTTCTTTGAGAAAATAATGATTAAATTTACTAAGGTCAATGATAAAATGGACTTTCAGGAGGTCTAATTACTTAAAGTTTACCATCATGCTGAATTATTTCCCGAATTGGAAGTACAAAGATATTCTGCACGGGCCGTACAATACAGTGGCCTTATTAACTCTCCTGAAAGTATCTTTTATCATTGACCTTTATAAATTTAATCACTGTTTTCTCAAAGAAAATTTTGTTTACTTTATGATAGTGTACTGTAACATCTCTCTTATATTTTACAAATAATAATAATAATATAACCTCTGAAGATCACTCAATACCCTTAGGATATTACCAAAAGAAATAAGAGGTTGTTAAATAAAAAAACAAAATTATAAGAGTATTAATATATTTATTTATCTCAGGTGTGGGTTACTGACAATCAGATCAACTCAGACAAACTATTATTATTTAAACTATTTATACTATAATTAAACACTGATTTTAATATAAAGTCAAGTATGGATTGACAAGCTAACCTTTTTTTGTAGATACTGTTTCTTCCTTTGTTACACTAAATTCATTTCTCTTCAAATGCTTTCCAATGTTTTGCCAAACACAACTTCCAAATTGGTGACACTATCTTCTACTCAACTCAAGCTCCCTGGCAGATACTCTCTCTTGTACTTCCAAACAACTTCTAAGAAGGTAAATCTATTCCTGGGTTTTTCCCACTGGAGCCAGGTCCCTTCTCCTATCCTCTCTTCACTGCAGTCACACACCAACTATTTGCCAAAACAAAAACCTTTGTCCCTCTCCTCTTTGGGATTTTCCTTCTTGGGAAACTACAGAGCAGCCATTTTCTTTTCTCTGCACTTGTAGAACTGGATTAGCTTGCCTTTTAATTGTTCAACATTAATTTATTAAAACCTTTTTACTCACTTCCAATAAAGGTGTACTTTACAGTACTTAGAATTTAATTATCTTGAACAGCTTATTCAATGAAAACCGTGACCACCTTAAAAAAAAAAAAAAAAACAACACAAGATTGGTCTTAACTCTTTTTCTGTTCGGAATCGGCCCATACATAAAATGAATTTTTTTTCTAGAATCACCTTCAAGAGCTTATCATTAAGAACTGAGACATCCTATATAGTTAAAATTTAACATTGTTGAAGCCATAGGCCACTGCCAGTAACATGAATCTGTCATCATTAAATTAGTTTGCCAATAACTTTTCCTTTAATTGTTATTCTTTACTTATACCTTTCAGGGCAGTTTACGACAGTCAAGATATTGAAGCAAGATCCAACATGCATCTCGCTTCAACCATGGCAGGTGTCGGATTCGGAAATGCCGGAGTTCATCTTTGTCACGGGCTGTCTTACCCGATCTCAGGCAACGTCAAAACCTTCAGGCCGAAGGGATATAGGTATATATATATATATAAATATATAGGGATACAGGTATTCATTAAGAAAGATCTCGAACAGTTATTAAGTATTACAGTTGATTTATTGTATTGTTTTTTTATCAGATTATAAATTAAATTTATGTCATTCTGACGAAGAATTTTTCTTTAAAGTAAGCCTTTGCTATCAATTATCAGCTGACTGATAATGAATACTGATTTGAATGTAACTCAATAAATCTATTATTGATTGTTGAATTGAATAATAAATTAAACAATTGCCTAAAATTAAAATTAAAATAGATAATAAAATTCTTTGATAATAAAATTCTTTCAACATAAATTTTCTAGATATTGATAAAAGTATTGCGTTCATTTTAGAGTGCAGTAATTCAAAATTGTTGGTCAGTTCTTTGATTTTTTAAAATTAATCCACATTGGGGTGATTGATAAGTTTATTGTAATATTTAAAAAAATATTTTTATTAATAATTGTGGGTAAATGGTTGACTGTGGTGAATATTGAAGAGAAGAATAGTTGGGGTGATCAATCAAATAAGAAGGCAAAAATAAATGATAATATTTATTTTGACATTTGCCGACGTTTCGACATGAAGTTCAGGCCTTCATCAGGGCTAAGAAAAGAACCAGGTAACAAGGTATGAGAAACATAAGTGGTGTTGGTAAAAAAAATTAAAGTAAAATGTAGTTGTTAGAATAATGACAATAGTAAGAACTAAGAGATAAATAATAATAACCGTTACAAGGTGTGGAATGATGAAGTAAACATAATAAAAAAAAGTGACATAAGTATTAAAATGGGAATCTTAGAATAAAATGTAAAACAGAAAAAAGAAATATGAAGTTATATAAGAAATGAAAATAAATAGTAAAATTAAGATATTGCGAATAGAATTCTTTTCTTAGCCCTGATGAAGGCCTGAACTTCAGATCGAATCGTCGGCAAATGCCAAAATAAATATATTATCATTTATTTTTGCCTTCTTATTTGACTGGTCACCCCAACTATTCTTCTCTTCATTTTTATTAATAAAAAATAAAGACCCCGTACCATCTCCTTCCTTAATAAAAAATAAACTTTGCTATATCTTCTCATCGGGATTTTATTATTTTATATTAATATCATGTTAGCGATGAACATGCAATCATTCCCCATGGACTGTCGGTGGTGATGTCAGCTCCAGCAGTGTTCAGATTCACTGCGGCGTCTTGCCCAGATCGACATCTTGAAGCTGCTGATCTTTTGGGTGCAGATGTGTCCAATGCTAAACGGGCTGATGCAGGTATTGAATTAAAAGAAAAAAATCATATTCCTTCATAATTAAAAAAATAAATAAATTATTTTTTAAAACTTCTCTTATTGTATAGGAAAGATATTGTCAGATGTTGTTAAGGGCTATATGGATACGATGAAGATAGAAAATGGACTATCTGCTTTGGGATATACTTCGAGTGATATTCCCGATCTGGTTAAAGGAACTCTACCTCAGGTATTGATTTATTTGTTTAATATCATTCAAATTTTATGCATGTATGAAATATAGTCCGGCAAAGTATTGTTATTGTGATTGGTTTTGAATTCGAAATTTTGAATTCGAGCTGTATAGCTCAAAACAAAAAGATGAATGACACTAAAATTACATATTTAAGTTAAGTATATATGCCTGGGATGTTACAGCAACTTTATTTATAAAATTGATTTAACCAAAAATCATACTTTGTATTATTGTAATTATACTGTAAACCCCCCAATTTTTGGCACTCTTAAGGAAACTTTAAAATGTTTTAGTCCCGATTCAATTCTGTGGGTACTTGATCCTACAATTTTGTTCTGTTAATTCAGTAAAGATCTCTTAATTTCAAATTATATATGTGAAACAGTAGTTTTTCGTTTATTTTGTAATAATGAAATGGAAATCTTTATATCTTTATGCGCCAGTTTTCTGCACTATATAGGTGTTACTTTCGATCAAATCCTCTCCTAGAAACCACAAATTTCCCATCATACTATCTCCACTCTAAAACAGTTCAATCGTCTATGTTATCTCCTTCCATTTCAGTCCTGTCAACTACTAGTTTCTTCTCTTGTTTTCCCCCACTTTGACTATGGCTGTCTGGTGTACGGTGGACTCTCACGAGATTTCGAAGCCAAACTTAATCGCTTAATGAATTGCGCATTATGTTTTGTTTTCGAAACCTCAAGAGATACGCATATTACCCAGTATTACGCAGAGTTGAAGTGGCTCTATTCATCTTATCGCCATCAGTACTTCCTAGCTACCTTTTTGTACTAGGCCATTAGAACTCATCAACCCTCCTTATATTTTTCACAGCTTACAATTTAAATATTCCATCCAATCCCGTCCCACTAGATCTCGTACTTCCGACCTCTATCCTCCTCACCGAACTGCTGAATTTGACAAATCCTTTGCAATTCAAGCCACCTCCATTTGGAATTCCATCCCTGCTGATATTAGACACTTATAATCAGTTTCCTATTTCAAACCTCTCCTCTTTAAACATCTCCTCCTTTCTCAATCCGATTGATTATGAAATGTATGTAAGAGAGCTATCTAAGTACTCCCAGAGACTTTTTCTATTATTTTAGTTTTATATATATATATATATATATATATATATATATATATATATATATATATATGTACGATTTTCTTTCCTTTTTCTCTCTCTCTCTAGAAGGTGATGGAGACTGATGACTTATTTATTATTATCGTGCGATCATGGTCAGTTGGCAGTCTGAGGGCAAACTCATGCTAAGTTGAAACTTAAGTTTTTAAAATTTTTTTTTATTACAAATTTAAACATATTTTGAGAGAGATGATATTGCTATCTTATAATGTATGGATATATTTGCTAACAATTTGTAAGTAAAATTGGAAGGTTATGAAAAAAAACCAAATGTTCGTTCTTCAAAGGCTGCCAACTAATCATAGTCAAGCTATAGTATGTATATCATGTTACTGATTATATGTGCTCTTCATTAGTATAAATGATATATGTTGATATGAGGTGTTTAAAAAAATATATATATGATGAATTATTTCATAAGCAATTGTATTTTTTTTTACAGCACCGAATAACTAAACTGGCGCCCAGAGAGCAGTCCGAAGAAGACTTGGCCTCATTGTTTGAAAATTCAATGAAAGTATTTTAATCAATATGCTTAATAAAGAAGCAGGAAGATCAAAAACACACTAAGTCCATATTTAAGGGAAAAATAAGTATTGGTTTGAAACAACTCTTATCCTGATATGTGTCAATCGAACAATACACTGGCATAAAATGGCTCCCATTTATATCATGGCTGGAAGTCAGAATCCCACTTAATCCTTGGAGATTTCTCCTTCTTGTAAAATGTTGTTATCTATGATTCAGTTGTTATATAAAATAAATGTTAAATATTATTTGTTGATTTTAATAGCTTCAAGAAATTTATATATTTATGCTTTTAAAAAATATATTTTTGTCCTCTACAGATTTTGTTTTTATTCAGTGTCCAAAAATAATTGTTAAATTTTAAGTTCTTTATAAATAGATTGTAAATCTTGATAGTCTATAGAATGTGACAACTCTTTTCTGAAAAATTGATAAATAATTTTATACTGTTATTTTTGAAATCAATTATTCTACTAAAAAAATATAATACCACAGGCAAATGCATCAACCCAAGGGGATATTGCCTTCTACATCACAGAGTTCCTGATAGAAGGAGATCTCTGTTTCCAAAAGAATTCAACCCATCAAAAAGCTTAATCTATAGGCGAATAAAGGTGGATTGAAGCCCTTGTGTATGATTGCATCCATTGCCATTATGATCTGGTGTAGATATCTCTGAAGTGGTACATCAGGGAAAGTCTATGGAAGTTGTTACACAGGTTGGAGGTTGTTATGCAATGTTAGGAATACACATCATTGGTTTATTGAAAAAGTCATTAAGTGTATTTTTAATATAGATTATCTTACAAGTATGTTTTTGTGAATTTAGCCTTATTTATCGATACAAAAACACTGTAAGTGCATGAAAATGGCACAACCCTTTTAAATATCAAATATAGTTACAACAAGTATACAATTTGCTGATTTTGCAGAGAGAAAATTCTTCAAAGTTCGTAATTATTTAAGGTTATGAAATGTCTCTTAATGACTTTTTGCAATAAACCAAAGATAAACTCATTTTACAAATTTTAAATAAAATTGCATTACAGTTCATCAGGAAATCTGGGATTTAAACTCGAAAAAACAACAACAACAAACAAACAACACAATTAAAAATAAGAGCACTCTTGGTTGTTTATTAAACACTTTACTATTTACAAACAAGAATTAGTCTATAACTAAGCAGTATATAAATTTTAATGGCGGTAAGTAATTATAAAATAATGTTGAAGCATAATGGTAATTATGATATATTTATTTGAAATGTTTAATTTTAATTTAAACATGATCTTAAAAATTCAACTACACAACTTTGGCATCATAACACAATTTATTGTTTATACTTATAAAAAAGAGTATTGACAAATTTATACAAAAATATACAAAAGAAACATAAAAGTAATTGGTATGTATAAATATTTACAATTAATTCGTTGATAGGATTTACAATTTATAATATAATATGAATTTTTTACTTTTCCTTTTAATTCCCAATTTACAATTTTATTTGTACTCAATATTTTCATGAGCATTAAGATTTCTACTATCATTGATTCATCATAAAAATATAAACAGTAATATTTAATTCTAAGACTGAAAGCGAGCTGAAATTATACAATACATTACAAATTATAATATACATCAGTCTAAATTAATACATGTTAGTTATAAAGTTAACATAATATTTTTCAAATAAGCAAAATGTAAAAAAAAAAAAAGTAATATGTAATAACGTAAGAGGAACAAAAATAATTCAATTTTACATAAACATTTTCCTCAAAATAGGGGTGGGAAATGTATTTTATATTTTATTGAATAAAATAATAATCCCTGTTCATAATATAGAAAAAAATATGAATTTTATTATTGTTACTGATTTATAATTTTATAAAATCTCTTTATAATTTTTAAAGTATATTTTGGTGAATTCATAAAAAATAATTACTCACCCCTGATAAAAGGTAGTAATGTTCATTACTGATAAAATAATTTTTTTTAAATGTTTTGTTGTTTAAAAATTAAAAAATGTACAAGTACAATTGTTAAACATAAATACAAGATAAGACATCGAAATATTCAACACTAGATTTACAGACTGTTATATTAACAATTCAAATAAAATGACAAAACAGATTCATATAGTTCAATAAAATTCAGGATAATTTTTAAAACATTATAAATTTCAACTTTGGAATTTGTTCTGTTAACCTAGTGTTAAAATTTTTCTACTCTGGAAAATTGATGTGACAATTTGCCGAATCACAGTAAATTTAGTTATATTACCAATTTTAGTTTAATATGGTAAAATTATCTGACTTATTTCAAATCAGCCTTTCTATGCAGCACCTTTTTTGTTAACTTTGATTAGCCTAATAGCCGTAATAATAGAACAAAATATCTAATACGAATCTACTACACCTTGGCTAAATCTAACCTTACTAGTTAATAATTTACGATATTCGATGTCTCGCAGCTGATCCTAAAGCTCGGTAGTTTCCAGTTTCTTGGAGATGAGAGGATTGCCTATCTTGTCCATGTGCTGGTAGAGGTTTCGATGGTAAGTGTTTCCGTGGCGATTGAGGTCATTCTGTTCCTTTACATTTGCCGGGCATTCGCTACGTAGCATGTTAGATTGACTGGAACATCAGACATATTTTTAAAAATAATTTTATTTATTTATGTTACAGTTTCAAAGTGCTACTCAAATATGTTGCCTGAGCACTAGATCTTGGTAATCATGCTTAAAATGAAATCCCAAGAATGCTAAAAGTAGTAATGAATTGACAATCATGCTCACATGAAATTATAGGCATGTCCTTGCTTATACGAAATGTTTAGTTTATGTTAAATTTACCTGTAAATTATTTGATCCACTGAAAAGGACCTGTTGGGAGTTGGTTTATCTTTTGAGTGATGTCTAACAGTTGGTAACTAAATAAAGGATTAATAATTTTAATAACAACCTATAATTAAGATGACCAGACGTCCCATTTTTGGGAAAGAATGCATCACAATCTAGAGAATGGCAGGAAAATGGAAGAGAATATACAGTTTTCAGTGGTCATGTTATAATTTCACCTGAATACAGGTTTTATATTATTTTAGTTATGTTAAACTTTAATAATACCTCATAGTTGTTAAGAACTGATTATAAAAGAACTGCTTAGCAAAGTTCACATTGTTGACCAGTAGTTAGATTTCAACCACCATTGTATGGACCTAATAAACGACTCGAAAATGATCTTTTTTAATAAGTTATCATTATTAAACAAATACATTGATAAGGGAAAGGTTAAATCTCAGACATCTGAAAATTAACTTCATTTGCTATTTTAATTACCAAATTTTTGTCACCTTCAATAAGTTTTATAGTATTTCAAAAAAGAACTGCTTGATTTCGCACAAACTACTAGTATAAAACATCTAAGACTCTAAAACTGACTTATTATTGAAGTTATAAATTAAGATTTTAAATATATTATCACATTATTCGCTCTCAAAAATATGTCCTTAGAAGTAATTTCTCTACCTTATTTCAGCTGAATGTTATGTCATCTGATTAACATTTGCACCAAATTATCACTGTGTAAAATTAATTATTATAACAACAAATTTGGACGATCCTCTCCCCTCCCATGATATTGCTCAAAAATGAAAAGGGTCTGGAAAATAGTTGCCTTTCAGACACACCACCAAATGTGGAATTCCATCTGGTTTGATCTTGTGCTGCCTTATTGAAGTAGCTCTTTGGAACAAGTACCTTTATCTAATTTGATTATAATAATTATCAAATATAACAAATAGTTCACTTTTAATCTAAGTATTTACTAAGATTAAAAATGATCTATTCATAATCATTTACTGTGGCTATTCATATTGTGGCTGAAAATGAAAAAAACATGTCACAGTCCAAAAAGCCATGCATATATTATTTGCATTTAAAAAAATAATATTTGATTGGCATGCAAATTACAGAATAAAATTTATTAATATTACTTACCTTAAACCACCATAGGCGGAAGCCTTGCAAATAATAAATTATAATTTAGACTAAAGTATTATCTTTGAGATACAAATTAAAAAAATTAAAATTATTGCATAAAATTAGTTCTTGTTATTGTTCTTCTGAACTATGCTTTAATTCTATAAATAATTCAATTAGTTACCTGTTACAAGAAGAATTTCCAGTGGTGTCTTCCTGAGTGTTTACACTAACGACAGCATTCTCGTCTAACGAATCCCTTTCAGAGGTTTGACTGAAAGTTGATAAACATCTTAACAATTTATTGGTATTGTGAATGATGGTTCACTGATCAGAGAAATTACAGTTTTACCTCATCGTGTCATCTTTGTACCACTCGTTTTCGTAAGCCTGCATCCAAATGGGATTCGATCCTTCTACGCTGTGCATGTTTGTATTGGGAACCCTGGCCGGGGCCCGGGTGAGGTCTGACTCTGTCGATCCTATAAAATAATCAAAACAGATCTTGAAAACTTGGAGAATAGAAAAGATATATCGTCAGTTAATTGCAAAAAAGTCACTAAGTGCATTTTTGATATAGGTTAACTTTCAAATGTATTTTTGTGAATTTTGACTTTATTTATTGATTAAAAAAAAACTGTAAGTGCAAGTACACAAGTTCCTGATTTTACATTGGGAAAATTCTTCAAAGTTCTTAATTATTAATGGTTATGAAATGCCACTTAATGGATTTTTATAATAAAATAAATATGATATTTCAAGACTTGGAATTGAATCTCCTTCAATTCAACTATTTGTGTTAATAAAAACTGCTATATTTTAAAAAAACAAGAACATTTTTATTTTTTCATTTATAACTGCATTTAATCTTGAAAATCCATTGATAAAATATGGTAATTTACAAATGTTCTCTTAAATGTTTTTCTCACAAAAGAGCCAAACCTGTGTTCTTAATATTTTCCATTTATTAATTTTTTTTTTTTTTTGGAAGAGAAAGATGGGGATTCACCCCTCAATTTTTCCAACAATTACCACTTAACATTTGATCTGTAAATATATTTATGTCTTAAATTCATTAATCAAATCAAAATGTTTTTTTATTACAAGCATGCAGCATTATTTTAAATGTTTAAATAAAAAAAATTTATTTAATACAATATTAAAAGATAGATATTATTATTCAAAGGTAAGAGTAAAGAATATTAAGTTAAAAGTTAGCTGTTACAATATCATGATAATTATGATCTTATTTTTTAACTGATAGCAGATGCCGCTAGCAAAATGTATGCAATATACAATTTAGCTCTAAAACAGACACAACTTTACTCTAAATAATTCTATTATCCCTTGACTACGATTACATAAAAAGTAAAAACAATTGTAATTTTGAATTTTTATTAGTTACCGAAAGCAGTGACGGTAGCAGCTTTGAGCTGTCGTTGATAAGAAGCTCTCTGCGAAAGGCAAAGCGAGATCACAACAAGAAGCAACAACAGGAGGAACAGCGCGGCTCCAAGTAGCCATAGCAACAGGACCGAATCTGGTTCTATGATACGTGCTAGGCCGAGGGCTTCGGCACCTTCGGTGTCCAGAACGTTGAACTCCTGAAAAATACGGCATCATTTTGATTTGGTCAACTAAAACTGTAACTTAATATTCAAGAGATGTACAGTAGAGCTATATTATAATGGATGATAAAAATATATATTAAACTGTGACAAAATTATCACAAAACTATTAAATTATCATGTTCATCCTTTGGCTTCCCAGCCCCTCATATAAAATTACATTAGTCATAATCTTCCAATATTATAATAAAAGAGGAGTTTTAACAGGAACATTCATATATATTATATGTATATGTTGTAATGTACACCTTTATTGGAAGTGAGTAAAAAGGGTTTAATAAATTAACGTTGAACAGTTAAAAGGCAAGCTAATCTAGTTCTAATAGTTCAGGGAAAAGAAAATGGCTGCTCTTTAGTTCCCCAAGAAGGAAAATTCCAAAGAGGAGAGGGACAAAGGTTTTTGTTTTAGCAAGCAGTTGTTGTGTGACTGCAGTGAAGAGAGGTTAAGAGAAGATATCCTATCCTGGCTCCAGTGGGTAAAACCCAATAATAGTATTACCATTTTGGAAGTTGTGTTTGGCAGAACATTGGAAAACATTTGAAGACAAATGAATTTAGTGCAACAAAGGAAGAAATAGTATCTATAGAAAAAAGGTTAGCTTGCCAATCCATATTTGACCTTTTATTTTAAAATCAACAGTGTTTATAATAGTTAATGTTAGTATTCTGAGTGTTTTGAATCTATTTGTCAGTAACTCACACATGAGATAAAAAAATATATTTATTAACTCTTGTAAATTTGTTTATTATTTGATAACCTCTTATTTATTTAGGAAGTATCCCAATGGTAGAAAGTGATCGTCCGAGGTTATATTATTATAATTTGTAAAATATAAGAGAGATGTTACAATGTATGATAGGAAGATTCTTACAGGCTTGGAGAGGATGAATTCTCTAAAATTGAACATTAACTATTCTCCTCTTTGTCGAGTCCCAGGGATCAGAGGTCAGGTGTATGGAGATGTTGGAACCCTCTGCCACAAATGTGGCTGAGAGTCAGATACCCCAACTCATGTACTGAGCAAATGTCCGAATAACATGCTTCTTGTCAACCGCTGCCACAATAATATAAAGCATCAAATTCATGAATTCTTGGAGATGAAAAAGTATATATGTTTCTTTAAAGCATATTGCATAGGTAGGGAAGACTCAACTAGATTTGTAGATATCTTAACTTTTAGTGCGAAAGGAAAAGAGGCTCTGATAGTTGATCCTACAATTTGATTTGAAACCAATGATGAGGATCAAAATACAAACAGAAAACAGAATATCTATGAAAAATGCATTCCGTACCTGAAGGAAAATATAGAGAGGAATTTTGTGAAAGATAGTTTTCGGTCGGGGGAGTTTGGTTCATCGGATGATAGGGCGGCAAAACTTTATTCTTTTTGTTCTCTCTGATTACATATCATCTATTGGAACTGATCGGTACGTTGGGTCATTTAGTACTTACCTTGAACAGCGAATCAAGATGTTCAATGTTCTGGTCTATTAACTTCAGTACATGCGGTACTTCGAGGATCGAATGGTCTTTTGGATTGACGAAGTGGAGGTACAAGTCCGTTCGTGTCTTGTCCACTTTTCCGTCACGAGCCTCGTGTACTTTAAACAGGTCAACGTTCACTATTGCTCCAGTAACATTTCCTAAAACACTGTATAGAAGAAAATTATTTACAAGAAGCCATGTTAAATTAATATAAAAAAAATTAACAGACTTTAAAAAAAGATAATAATATAATGAGGTTATTACTGGAAAATTACAAAATAATGATTCAGTAAGTTTTGTTCTATTAAAATGACATCTACTATATCTAGTTGTTAACATTGAATCTAATACTAATAAATAATAAAATATTTATGTTGCATATGTTTGTTTTGTTTACTGAATAAAAATGATAAACAAATAGACAATCAAATTTAAATAAAATTTTATATTTTTACTAACAAGACTAAAAGTAAATATAACATATTACCAGCCAACTCTTAACAAAATTATGAAATACCGATGTTATTCCTTATTCCTTAAGGAAAAAAATAAATAAATAATACAGTGAAAGAAAAAATACAGCGAACTCATTGATTTGTTCCAATTAATGGTATTGAATTATAATTATCAAAATTTTGGATAAATTTAGTTCAAATTATGAAAATTTGGCTCTAACTATTGAAGATGTGATATTTTATTCTTTTAATAAATTATAAGATACAGGAAGGATTTTTTATATAGTTTCTTGAAGGTATGGGAAAAAAATTTATATCTTTCTCCTGGGGTGAATTCTTTTACTATTCATATCTTTTGCTTTTATTTTCCATGTTCCGGAGCCTCAGAAATGTTATATTTCTTATTCTTCCTAAATATTGTCCTATATATCATCCATAATTTTTGTATTTTGTGATTTTTCTTATAACTTTTTACTTCTGTAATTACTTAAATCCTTGGTACAGTAAGGGTGACAATGCGAGATTCAGAATGTTCTTAGATAGAACAAGAACTAAAAAGGTATAAGAAAAAGGACAAAATAAAATAATTATCAATGACATACAGAACAATATTTAGAAACAATAAAAAACAGAATATTCCTGAAGATGGGGCAGAGCACCGAAACGTTGAATATGTAAACAAAATACATGAGTAATAAAATAATTTACTTAGGAGGAAGACATATTTTTTTGGCATACCTTCAAGGAAGGGATACTTTATATTTTTCTTCCCCCTCCCAAAAAATTGTTGTAACGATGTCAATGCTCTTAAGTCAGTTGTAGATTCTCTTACTCTCTGAATTTATCAATATTTGCTCTCAGCTCTTGCGGATGTTGCCTTAGAACAAATTTCACTCTTTGGTCTTCTCGTAGAAGGTAAATGAAAACATGCGCAGTATCTGAAAGACCTCCTGTATCATTTACCATAACCTAAAAAAAATAAAAATTAATTAATATTAAGAGTGCTGAATACAGATAAAATGTATTTATAATGTATCTTACCGTGAAATCAAAATATCCCTTCATTCCTTTCTGTGGGTCGAAGTTGACAAAAACACTTCCGGTATCCTTGTCGACAATGAAAGGTGGAGTTTGTATATTGTCCATACCTTCACTTAGCGTCATCTTTACTTCACTTGTCATGTAGTAACTCATCTTACCATTCCTACCCAAATCTGGATCTGTGGCCTAAAATGAAAAAAAAAAAAATAGAATAAATACATAAGTAAGAGTTTTAAATAAAAAAGATACCATCATTCCATATATTTAAATCTAAAGTATATGATGTAGAATATATCAGTCTATATTACCTTTACTTGCATAAATTCTGTCCCGAAATCCGCTTCAGTTGTGATACCTCCTGTAAAAACCCTCTTTGTGAAGACAGGAGCATTGTCATTGACGTCAGAAACATTGATGAAAAGATGTAAAAGAGTGTCATCAGAGGGATCAAAGTCTGTAACTTGTGGCGGTATCTTTGTACAATCTTCGCTTGCTTTGACGATAAGCTCGTACTTGTCGGTGACTTCCCTATCCAGTTCTCTCATTGTCTAAAGAATTGTTTAACATGTTATAAAAATTGATAAACATTATAACATAATATAAAAATAAATATGGTCAAAACTAGTAATATTTATATTAGCAATGATATATGCTGATCATTATTGTATATTGACATACGCATTTTAACATGATTTGTCAAATTTAATTATATATTTTCTTGGATGTCAAAAGTTATAAAATAGTGAAAGTGATACATAAGATAAGAACACTGTATTGTTTATGTTGATAGTGCTATGAATTGATTTCCACTTACACTGACAGGCAAAAAATTCCACCCACTTGATTTTTCCATGTTTTTATATAAAAATATTTCTGTAAAGTTGTATTTGTATATAATACATGGTATTTGTAGATAATACTTATCATGTGGGCGTGCATTAGAATAGAATGATCGCCGATTTCGTTGAGAATAGGCACCACATGAGATTCCAAAATCTCATCTACATAGCGAATGGCCGTCAAAGACCCCCCATTAACAACAACCAATTCTATGCGGCGCTCCATTGAAATCCCAGCCCACACCATTAAGGAACCAAGTTGGAAAGGTCCGAGTGGTACGTTCAGAAATTTGCACACCTCGAACTTCTTCGAGCTGATGAATCGCTTGAACAACGGTAAGGTGCCGGTTTCATAAAATTCTCAAAGTCAAAAACTGGTCATCCCGTGGTTCTGTTACCATAGGCCGTCCAGAACCGGGCCTTCTATTGTAAGAACCAGTTTCCTGAAAACGCCTGACGGCGTCTCGTAAAGTTTCATATGGAACTCCGATGGCATTAGCTGCATATCTAATGGAATGTCCATCATCAATAAGTGCCACACCACGCACAACATTCTCAACACTAAGAGGCATTTTTAAAGTTAATATTGAAAAAATTAAAAGCCGAAGACTAAGAAATGTGCTGCAACAAACGGCACTGAACTAATGATACTGAATAAACATTTTGATTCCATAGAAAGTAAACATTGCAATCTAGAATCATTTCAAGGATTAAGGGTTATTGTCCTCTATATTAACATTCCTAATTGAAAACAAACAAAAAGATAACCTATTTATTCATTAAAAACAATAGATCAATCCAAAGCAGAAATATTTTTAGATGAAAACATGAAAAAATCAAGTGGGTGGAATTTTTTGCCTGTCAGTGTATATTGTGATATGAAGATTGTAAATTGCTTAATTCATTTGCCTTGCACATGGCTAACATCACAATGATCTTGGCTCATCTGTCAATGAGATATAATACCACTTTAATTTTGTCAAAAAATCACATTTGTGTTTAATTTTTTTTTTTATTTGAGCGATATTAATAACTATTAAGTTAATATTTTTAAACGACTTTACCGTTATTTGATGAGTGAGAGGTTCGATGTTGAACCAGGAACCCTCGTTGCCCCCTACGATATAATAACAAACCGGACTGGTTGGTTCATCTTCATCGATATCAATGTCGTCCTGGTCCACCGTTTCTACAATCTGTCTTCTTTCTCGGCCCGGAGCAGCATGTTCTAGAAAATAATTTTTAGAAAAAATTAGCCTAAGAAATCCCAAAATAAATTATAACAATTGCTGTTAAATTAATCCTAAGTTTAATTAAAATATAAAATTTAAATAAACAACTGACAAATATTTGTACATATTTCTGAATTTTTGCTAATTATTTACGCATTTTGAAAATAAGATATTTTGTTAGATTTTTTAAAAAATTCTTTAGCTATGCTGATTAGACACAGTAAGCTAATAATTACCAATATTTATCCAAATGTTTACTATAAAATTATAATATAATTAATTGCAAATAAAATGAGCTAAATTTTTCTTCTTAAAATGAAGTATAATTAAAATTTATTGAAAAATTATAATAATACAGATATTTATATAAAATGAGCTAATTTTTTCCTTCTTTAAATGAAATATTATTAATATTTATTGAAGGCTTATAACAATGCATATATTTATATAATTATCTTACCAGTGAAATTGACAGAAAATTCATCAACCAGAAACTGCGGTTGGTAATCATTGATGTTTCTGACATAAATGGTGAGATCTAAATCCGAAGAAAGAGGAGTAGGAACACCATGGTCATATGCTTCCACCCGTAACTAAATAAAATAATAATATATTATTTAAACTATAATAAATGAATCAAAGTAAGAATAAAAAAATAAAATAAAACTAGAATCTAAACTTTAACAAACCTGATAAATTTTTTGTGTCTCTCGATCAAGTGGTTTCTTTAGAGTGATAAGACCAGTCGTAGGCTCGATTGAAAATGTTTTCCAGTCTCCCGACAAATCTTGTCTAAGCCTGTAGCTTACAGCTGCATTTTGGCCAATGTCACCGTCTTCTGCCAAGACTGTTATGACTTCGCTCCCGACAGTTGCATTCTGTAAACATTTGTTTTCATTAATAAAATATAATTATAGTGGACACCAGGTTTAACATGTTCATGGAAGAAATTAATTACAAATTCATTATTACACATTATAAAAGTAATTCACATCATAGCAAGAGTAAAAAATAAAAGTATATGAATCAATCCTTGATCACAATTAAACAAACAAAAATTAGAATATATAGTTGAATTTTATTATTCTTTCTTAATTCACAATATAATGAGGTATGTTATTATAAGAATCAACAATATTATATAATGTATTTAATATATATACCTCAGGTACTCTTATGGTGGTATTGTGAGGTGGGCTGACAAATAATGGAGCATTGTCGTTAAAATCAGTGATACATATATCCAGATTTGCAATCGCCGACTTTGCTGGTTTTCCCAAATCAGAAGCTTCAACAGTAAGTGAATAGTTTCCATACCTTCCCTTGAGGGAACCGACGCTCAATACTCTTGCAGACCAGGCATCGACTGCTTCCAGCTCGAAGAGTTCTGTCATGAATATTTAATTTTAAACACATTGTTTATTGATTATAATTGCTATTAAGATTTAAGCATAGGAAGAGAAAAAAACTGAATGAATATGTGTGAATGAATATTTTTAACTTAATAAAATTGTACTATAAATATGAAGAATTTATAATCAAAATCTGCCACATCCATTGATGGAAATAAAAAAATAAAAAATAAAAATATAAAATTTTGGAAGTAGAGTATAATATTTTCCAGCTAGTTATTTTTCATATTGTTATTTTGAAGCACATTAAAGAATTTTGATTTAAACCATCTGGCCTAAAGACAGACCTATAGGAACTATAAAAATCATGAAAAACCACTCAAAATTTATGGATTTAGCAGACTTTTATTCTGAAAATGTGTTGTTGTTGGTAGGGTCAAAAATAATTTATGAACCTTGGTATGGCGTTTATTCTTTTTTTTTTTTAAATGAACCTTTTTAATACTATATTAATTTTTAGGACATATTATAATCTTTAAAATTTCATTAATTATCATTATTTTGTGTTTTCCTACATGAAATATATGTAGAGTGCAGTTCTAGCAAAAGCAAAATTTATATCAAAGTTTTGACAAATCTTGATGCCTGCTTTAGATGAAAAGAAACATTTTATAAATTGAGCCAATGATTGTTTAAATTTATCTTCATTGAGTCTCCATAATTAATACTTAAGAAGCTAGTTGAATAAAATATCACATGAATTTAAATCAACATAAAATTTTGAGAAAAATTGTTTCTTTTGAAATAATTTTTTTTTAATTTTTGAAACACATAAATATATCAAAATTAATATAAGGATTTATATTAAAGAATGAAGAGAAGAATAGTTGGGGTGATCAGTCAAATAAGAAGGCAAAAATAAATGATAATATTTATTTTGACATTTGCGTTTCGACCTGAACTTCAGGCCTTCATCAGGGCTAAGAAAAGAACCAGATAACAAGGTATGAGAAACATCAGTAATGTAGGTAAAAAAAATTAAAGTAAAATGAAGTTGGTAGAATAATGACAATAGTAAGAACTAAGAGATAAATAATAATAACCATTATAAAGTGTGGAATGATGAAGTAAACATAATCAAAAAAGGTGACATAAGTATTAAAATGGGAATCTTAGAATAAAATGTAAAACATAAAAAAGGAATATGAAGTTATATAAGAAATTAAAATAAATAGTAAAATTAAAATATTGTAAATAGAATAGTTAAATAGAAAATGAATGAATAAATGAAGTCTCATAATGACAAAAATTAAGAATATACTTATTATGTTCATAGACACCATGTCCATTTTTTGTTAAATGATTTATTAACAAAGAAACAAACTTCAATAGCTGAAAGTTATGGAAAATTGCCTCTTCCAAAAAATACAAAAATGTGAGATTGTATCATTAAACTCCGGTGTACAGATTTAGGATCAAAGAAACAAATTTTAATAATAATAAACTACTTAGTATAATATTATTGAATTTGAAATTATTTATCGACCTAAAATTTTCATTTATTCAGTAATATGAAAGCTACATACGCCCTTGCTCTGTGGGTTTTAAAAAAAAAATCTAAAAATGTTGTTTCCTAAGGCTAGTATTTTGGTTTCATTTTTTTTGCTCTTATATCTGTTGTCGATTTAAAAAAAAAAAAAAAAAATAGATATTGGAAATAGAATAGTTAGATAGAAAATTGAGATATTGTAAAGTCTATCAAAATTTACAGACTTTTCTTAGCCCAGATGAAGGCTTGAACTTCAGGTCGAAATGTCAGCAAATGTCAAAATAAATATTATCATTTATTTTTGCCTTTTTATTTGACTGATCACCCCAACTATTATTCTCTTCATTATTCACGAAAGTCAACCATTTACCCACAATTATGATTTATATTAAACTTCATTTAAATTTATTATCATTTGGCATTAGTATTTACTAGGTAGAAGATGTTTTTATTCTCTTACTTTTCTCATTTCCAGCTAAAATAGCAAATGCAACTTGTCCATTAGGAGTATTAGGATCGTCAGCATCGGTAACTTTCAACAAGGTAATGGTATCCTTAGGCTCATGGAATTCAGTAACAGCAACACAGGTTTCTGGAAGAGTGGAGAACTTTGGCGCTTCATCATTTACGTCCAAAATAGTTATTCTACATGAGAGAAACATTAACAATTAATGATCAGCATAAAAAATTAAGAATATATGATATTATCAATAATTTAAATTTAACAATTTATTTGACTAACAGAAATTAAATAGGCTCAATCATGAAAATAAAAGTTAGCATGGATACAGAAAAATAAACAATATTTTGGAATTAATTTTGCAACTTTCATAACTACTCTGATAATATGTCAATTTTAACAAAACTATGTTGGACTAATATTCAACATAAGGAGGACTTGAGGGACACATGTGGAAATGTAAAAAATACTTTTTTTTTTTAAATGTTGGCCCAGGGCACGTCGACCATAATGGGTTCATTGTGAGCCAATTTCAGTTAATCGTTTTAATCAAAACATTATTTTAGTCGCTTCCATGTATCTTAGCAGGCTGGTTGAATTGACCGTCTCATATCTACTGGGATCCATTTGTTCCTCCCCAAATAGTGCCAGTCTCAGCCTTGTGAATCTATCACATCTACACACGATGTGAAAGGCTGTTTCATTCTCTTTCTGACAGAATTTGCATAGCGGATTCTTCATTACTCGGAGATTGAACATATGGTAATTTAGCTTACAATGACCTGTATAGATTGCTGTAAGCTTTTTAAGAGCTGCTCTGTCCATACTAAGTAACAGTTTGCTTCTTTTTTCACATGAGGAACAGCTTCGAATGTCGCAGTTTCTTGTCAGTCAAGTAATTATTAAATTTGTTCCCATAAATCTCCCTGATCCTACTCTTGGCAGTGCTAAAAAAATACTTAACAAACCACTAAAATTACTATATTCTTTTTCTGAATTGTCAATACTGAAAATTAGACAGAAAATAAATACATACACATGCCAACTTAAGCCCCCTAGATCTGTGCCTTACAGATTTAAAGTTCAGAAAAAATAAATTAAGACTAATAATAGAAGTTCCTTGGTATCTAAATTACAATCAAATTTTTACCAATTCTATATTTTCATTTTCATAATTAACTACTACACTAATCAATGATATTGCTGCGGAAGATGCATCCTTTAGAAGGCGTCTAAAAAACAGCTGGATGAGGGACCTCATTTTTTGAATTAAGGGACTTAAGGCTAAAAAGAACTGCTACTGAGTACTATCCTTACCCATAATATAAATATCTTTTTATTATTGTATTTGCGAATTGTCACTCTTATCTTTGATTGGTATTACTAAAGAAATAAAGATAAATTAAAAGTAATTATATTATTATTGAGTAAGAAAAAGATGGTCTGGGATGGCGGTCATATAAAGACTAAAATAGTAAAAAACTATTTTATAACAGTTTAAACTGAAATTCCTCACTGCATACAACCCCCTAAAGAAGAACTGCAAAGTCGAAAGGTTGGCTTTAAATAGTTTGTTACTATTTTATGACCACCACCCCAGACCATCTTCTTACTCAATGATATATCACGATCAACCATCAAGTATTCAAAAGAAAGAGAATTATTACGTTCTGAAAATATCTATGCTATTACATTACCGAAAGTATCTATGCTATTACATTACTGAAAGTAACTATATTATTACGTTATTTGTTTGAAGGCATTTCTGCTTTCTCCACTGATATAACCAAACTGGTAGTTATCCCAAGCTTGAATGATCAACATATAGGAACTAGTTTCTTCTCTATCTAACGAATCTGTTACATTTAGAATTCCAGTTTCTGGGTGGATCGAAAACTTTCCCTATAAAAAAATAAAATTGGGTTTATCAATACAACTATTCATACTTTAATTTATTTTTTTGTTAAAGAAATAATATATTTAGTTTTTATTATTACCTGTGAAGATCTTCTATCTAACAAATAAGTAACCTTTCCATAATCTCCTTCATCAGCATCCGATGCTATTATCTGTGTAACTTCGGTTCCTGGAAGAAGTAAAGAGAATAATTATAACTTCATAAAAAAATTATAAATAATATAATTTATTATAAATAAAAATAAAAATATACCTATTGTAGAATTTTCCCAAATAGAAATGTTATTAATATCACTTAAAAATACAGGATTATTATCATTCTCATCGATGACTTGAATAAATACTTCAGCAAATGACGATCTCATCGGTAAGCCAGAGTCAGTGGCTTTGACAGTAAAATTTATCCAAGAAACTTGTTCTCTATCGATACGACTTCCGACGACTAACTCTCCAGTAGCTGAATCCAATTTGATCAAATCTCCATATTTCTTTGCTCCTTAAAAAATAAGATTAATTGAAATAAAAAAAACTTTATTTAATACATTGTTGGGTCATATTTGATGGAAATAAAAATAGGCTAATGAGATGATGGAATAGTTAAGAAATCAGATTATGGAAAATACAAATTAAGTAATATGATCCATACAGGTAGAAATATAAGAAGAAGAAGAAGATAGAAGTAAATGCATTCATTTGTGACATAAAAATGAATATTTAGGATTTGAGAAAAATGTTGTATAATTATTTCTCTCTATTATATAAAACAGTTTTTGGTGACCATGTAATATTTTACTTTACATATAAGATGAAATAATAGATTAAAATGCTGTTATAAAGACATGAAATTTTTTTTTTTCTGCTAAAACTACATTTAAATATATATATATATATATATATATATATATATATATATATATATTGATTAGAACTACAGAATACATGTAAATCAGTGGAACGAGTAGTACAATTAAATGAACAGTTGTATAATTTGTAAAGTAAAATGGGGATTGTTCCACCATTAGGCGGACAGGTGGTGCCTTCCTAATTTCTAAGTTTTATCTACTATGTTACACTGATTCCATAATTATTTAAATGAATGAAAATCTTTTTAAATTAAAAAGTAATACCTTGAAGTGAATAGTTTATTGTTTTGTTTTTATCTGCATCATCAGCAATTATGTTTGCAATATTAACACCAGTCTGGCTATTTTCGGTTACGGAACAACGGTAAAATGGTTTCCTGAAGAGAGGATTGTTATCATTTTCATCTTCGATGATCACAGTTAAAATGCCTAGTGAAATAATATAAATTAATTAACATCAGTCGGAAAAGACTAATTATCATAATTAATTTAATTCTTTAAACAAAAATATACCAGAGGCTATTTGTAGCCCGGATTGTGCAGCCATATCTTGAACTTGGACATGAACTCTGATTGTTTCCACTTTTTCTCGGTCAAGTACCTGATGGAAAAATGATTATTATAAAAACTGTAATCAAGCAAAAACAATTTTAAATCAATGTGGGTAATAATAACCTTAGCCAATCGTAGAGTTCCATCGTTCGCATCCAGATCAAACGCTGATGAAAGTTCGACTTCTGATGACCTTACCAGTCGCCCTTCTTCAGTCCTACCTTCGAGGCCAGTTGGGTCCAAACTATACCTTAATTTTGCATCGGAATCGAGATCATTTGCAACTAATTTTGTTACGATATGTCCAACCTGAAATGTATGTTATCATTACAAATAAAAATAAATCATCAACCAAAGAGATTATTTTCAATTCACTAGTACCAGAGTCATCAGGAAATAATATCTAGAATCTTTAAACTGGTTCATAGTAAATGACATTACATTATTATATATATTCTAATCCCTAATTTTATTAGTTTCTTCATTTCCGATTGAATGGTAACCATGCATATGCCAAATGTATATCCAAGATCTTTTGAGGTTGAAATATGCTTTAAATTATAAGAAAGAAAAAAACTTGTACTACTACAACCCATTGATTGTCTTGGGTTCAGTACTTTGTAAGGAAGTACTGTTTCTTGCTCAACGGGTTTGGAAGAAGATTATTTGACCGACATTAGGGGGATCTGTAAAGTTCAAAGCTCTATGACTTTATAACAAAAATACTTAAATTTCTCGCCAAAAATAATTTATGATTGCAGAGAAAAATGAATTTTGTCAGAAAACGGACAAAATTCATTGGGATCTGGAACTTCACATATGTGTTTATAATTTATAAGAAGTTTGTATCGAAATTTCAAGAGTCTATGGCTAAAAGTATTCTCACGACCAATTCCTGAAAACGTCATCACAATTTTATAAAGTTATTAGTTGTTATGCTCATCGAGGATTTGATAACAAAGAGACACAAAACTAAATTAGTTTCTTAAGGTTTTATTTATTACATAAATTAGGCCAATTATCACCAACATTTTATTGATACGCTATTAATTTCGATGTTTCGAGCATACTAAGGGCCATTTTCCAAGTCTTGATGAGTCCTCCGTTATATATTCATCATTAATGTTGCAAATAATTTGTTCAGTGAACATTAAATTGTCATGCTCTATAGGGGTTTCGCCTATGTCATTTCTGGAGGGAGTTAGTAAATTAGTTTCTTTATGTCTAAAATATAAAACACGAGTAGAAATTTTCAGAGGACAATTTTTTTTTTTCATTTTCTGCATTAATACAAACAAAGCACCGCTACCTTTGGTAGCGAGGGAGAAAAAATGAACGGTTATTTGTAATTGTGTTTTTTAGAATTAAAATATTTGTTTCCTGTGAATTTAATTTTATGAGAATTGTTCAATATCATTAAGATTTATTTTTTATTTTTTTTAAAAGTATTTTTAGTTGAACCAATTAATCATTTATAATAGAAAAAACTTACTTGAGTATTCTCTTTGATATGAATTGTTCCGGGCTCAGCCAGAATGGGAGCCTTGTTGTTGACATCTCTGACCCTGACAGTAACGCTCACAGATGATGTCTGCTGTGCGACACCAAGACCTCCATCGATGGCCACAACTTCCAGCCTGTAGAGATCTCCTCTCGGTTGGCTGAGGTCTGGATCCAACGATGCTCCGAGCGAAGTCGTCACTACACCTGTGTTTGGCTCGATGACAAACTTATCTTTTGCTCCTTCATTGATTCGATAGACTATAGTATCGTAAGGTGAACTGCCATCGTTATCATAAGCTTGTACCTAATGAACAAAAACAATGTAAAGAATGAAAGTCATATGACTTACTCTGTAAGGAAAATAAGTGTTGATACAATAAAAGCCCGATAATATTGGGTTAGCAAATAAATTCTTTTGGTTTTTCAGGTTGAAATAAAATATATGTATTATAGAAATAAAATGTATCTAAATCTACAATATAGACCATTACTTAGTATGACCTGTTACCTTCTTTCAACTAACTACATATTGTTATTTTCATACAAAATTTGGGGTTCATGGCCAAAAAACTGATCTTAAGTGGTTTTTGATGTCCTGTTCATTTAGGAATTGCTTTAAATTCATGGAGTTCTGCAGAGAACAGAAAAGTAGTAATCACTTTGAAATAGGACTGGAGGAAAAAAACATCCTAATGATTTAACAGTTTTGAGCATTTTTTTAAAGTGATTGATTCAATTTCATTAATTTTGAGCAGTATAGTATTGAATCAATGGTTACTCATAGAAAATTTTAGTTAAGTGGCATTAAGGCTTGTTTCTTAATAAATATTTTGATATATACATATTTTTTTTAAGGTAACAAATAAATAAATACACATTATTCTAAAACTAAAATAAATACACATGTTTTAAATTGAATAAAGAATTTTCCTGCTTTGAAAACAAAGATTACTCAAATTTTTTTCATCTGAATAAAAAATTAATAACAAAACCAAGAATAAGAAGATTGACTATACAACAAAAGAAAAAACTTTAATTCTTCAATCAAACCAAATATACCAAAGCTGAGATTTATTTTAAAGAATACCTTTAGAATTGATGTTCCTCCTGGTGTATCTTCTGGTATTGTTGTCATATATTCGGTTGATTCAAATATAGGCACGTTATCATTGACATCTTGAAAATAAATGGTAACTTCAGTTGTTGAAGACAAAGCAGGTCTGCCGCCGTCCTCAGCTTTTACCTATGAATTTATTAAAATATATAAAAAAAACATAAACTGATAAAAATTAAATATAAATAAAATGAAACAATGTTATCAGAATCAAACCTGGATCGTGATAGGAAAAGAAGAAGAATGCTGACGTCGCGAATCTTTTGGTATTGCCTCAAAGTCGAGGGGTTTAACAGGTTTGAGTTCTCCACTTTTTGGGTCTATTGTGAAATTATGACGCATCTCTGACCAACCGATGATGGAATATCTTATTTCGCTGTTCTTTGTGCCTTGAAAAAATAAACAGGATTAGTATCATATAATTTATAAAAAATTGTATAAATAAAATAATAAAAACAATTAGTATGATTTAATACCATTAAGGTCTGCATCCCTGGCTTCAACAAAAAGTGGCGATTCGAAATTTGGTTCATTTTCTAGCAGCCTCGCTTCATATTTGTTTTGCAAGAACTGAGGTTCATTGTCATTTACATCTTCAACATTTATCACCAACTGAACAGTGTTTCTACAAAGGATAGATAACTAGTAAATGATACAATAAGAAACAGATGTAGAAAAAATTAATTTTAAAGCAGAGAAAAATAAAAGATATATATTGCCAAATCAATTTTAAAGTTTGAAGGAAACTAAAGCTTCATAAAAATTTTAAAACATTTTTCAGGATTTTCCATTTATTTACTGTTTAATAATCTAAGAGATATTGTAGTGGTCAAAAAATTGTATCTGAAATCTCGATTCAGACAAAAATGAGCAATATAAAAATAAGATTATCAAATTTATGTATATAGTAGCTACATTTTAACAAAATAAATAAAAAAGATCATCAGATTTAGAAAAACGTTGAGGATATAACACATCAACCTTTTTGTTCTTTTAAATTTGATTTTTTTAAAATGATTTTGATCTATCCATAGGTATTTTAATTCTTGTGTACTCCATTTTTATGAAAATTTTTATTTATGAGACAATTATAGACTTGTCTTTATACATATCAATCATTCAGGATTTAATATATTTTTTGGGGGGAGGGGAGGAACAAACTTTTTCTTTTCTATTCTTTATGTATTGGTGTAATGGTAATCATAGGAATAATAATTTTTATTCTTGATATGTGTCTACATTTATTAGTTGGAAAAATATGTTATAATATAAAAAGAGAACATATTGAGATTGTTTAGTATTTAGTTCGGATTACTCATAGAAACTAATTTGGAACAGTAAAAAAAAATTAAAAATTATTTTTCTATTATTTTTTGTGGGAGGGGGAAGAGGGAGGCCTGACAGAAGGCATTCAGCCCAAATACTCCTATGCCTTGAATATGCTTGAAACATATGATTATAAAATTCTGTATCCAGCCTTATTTAAATATTAATCATAAAAATATTGTTTCTTGTAATCATTACGTTTGCTTATCCTTTGTTTAGTTATGAACTCTGTTATTCCCTAGATATTATTATTAGCATAAATTGGAAGTTTATACAAAAATATTGAATAAAAATTACCTGTTTCCAAGGCCTAAATCATCACGGGCTTCGACTACCAGGTAATGTTTTGATATTAATTCTCTATCGAATGTTGGTTGGTCTGATTTGATTGTTATAGCTCCTGTTGTTGGGTCCAGTGATAAACTAAAAAATAATTAACAAAATATAGAATTTAATAAAAAAAAAAAAAAAATGATGGAAAGAAACAAAACAGAAAATTAATTTTAACTGTAGGACACTTTGTCTCCTAATAATGAAAAAAAAATTATAGCCCTACTGAATTTTTCTGCCTACTTAACTGAAATTAATTTAATTTGTTTACTAAAAGTCAAATAATAAATAATTATATAAATAAAATAAAAATTGATAGACATTTTTACAAACCTAATTAATACGATATTTCATTTATAAGTGGTAGATGGAAGAACAAAAGATAAGGTGATTAAGAATATAGGGAGGTATTTTGGTTCTTAAGGATTGGAATAGAAAATCACCAAGAAGGTATTGTTGAAAATTAGAATAAAGGTTCCCTAGCTCAAATTACCAGCAAAAGATGTCAGTGTCTGGGGAAATGCGAAATGAATTTTACAAAGCAGTTTCTTAAACTTTTTAGTCTCATCTTATGCTTACTAGATATTCTTACATGTAGCATCCTTAGTGAAATAATCTAAAGTAATTTATTAATTAATAATGAATAAGATTATATAATAAGAATAAGAAGATTATAAAATAAGATAAGTTATTATTAACAACAAGTTGGCCCATGAGAATAATTTTGTTTAGTGAATAAATAGCAAAACGATATGGAAATAAGTAGATTCTATGTATTATGTCAGGAAGGAATTAAAATACTTTTTCCTTGGTCGATTACAATATTCCATTTAATATAATAGACCAAAATATTTGTACAAATTGCTTTGCTAAGACCTATTTTTAAACGCTGACTGGAAAGATAATAAAGACAAAATAAAGCCTCGATCATGAGACTTTCTAAATGATTAAAAAAATAAAATCTAAGAACAAACAAATGCCTTTAAGAATCAATAAAGTTAACATATCAGCCAGGTAAAAAGGGTAGTAAAGTAGTAAATGCAATATCTGTAAAGAGGAAGAAATTATTAAGTATACCAAAACTAATGGACTGTATCTTTGCTAATAATTTTTTTTTTGTTTTGCAGGTAATTTAGTAATATTTCTAATTATTATGGGTACAATCAAGAAAGAAATTAATACTTTTTTGAGTTATTCGCAAATAAAGTTTCTTTTCCTTCATAACTTTTTTCCAGAAATTTCGGGAGGATAGGACCATTATTCATATGTGAAGGAGAAGAATATCTTCAAAATGAATGGTCAATCATTGGATATAATATATAGGATACTTATAAAAAAAATCAATAGTATTTAAATTTTTATAATTAGCCTACTTCAGTTTGTGAGCAGGTTATTTTTCTAATCACAGCAGATATTCCTGTCAATATCATCTCAGATATTACTTGAAGAAGCCTCACAATCATGTTAGAAAGGTGAAAGGAAATATTGGAAAAAGTGGATAAATATTTGCAAGCCATTTATATGTGGAAAATATATTTGGTGAGGAGTATATTTATTATATAACTAAAGATAATTTCACTTACAGTTCGGCCACACTTCCTCCGATATTAGTATATCTAATTCCTTCAGATCCAAATTTACCAGAATCCATATCTCTCGCGTAAACGATGGCTACAGTTGTACCTGAACCAGAATTTTCAGGAACTGAGGCCTGATAATACACAAATTAAGTATTAATTTATATTTTTTACTTTAAATCATGTATTTATTTAAAAACTGAATAATGCAATAAAATGTTTTTTAAATGTTAATATAATATACCTCGTAAATGGGTTTGCTGAATTCAGGAAAGTTATCATTCATATCTCTGATATATACAGTTACAGGAACAGAACTGAACTTCGGACTTCTATTTACAGTTTCTCTTGCAGTTAGAGTAAAGTTTATAACTGTAAAAATATAAATGTATTATATAAAGTAATACACCATATTGCTTTAAAATTAATCAAAAAATAAACTTTCATTAAAAAAATTGTCATATCTAGAATTAATATTTCTTTTGTAAGTCATAATGCATGTACGCATCACTCTCATCACAATTTTTAACAAACTAATGTTTAAAAGTCAAAATTATTAATATATTTACAAAGTATATTAGAAAATAAAATTTTGATTACTATATTCAAGACAAAGTTTTAAATCAGAGCAATTAAGTCACATTTATGTGATCAGACATTAAAAAAAAAATTAATACCATTTATAAAAAAAAGTTAATACATGTAAGTAATTTGCCAATATATATATATCAGTAAAAGTTAATAAAATGTGGACTTAATAAATGAATGGAAGTATTTAATTTTTATTTTTCAAAGAAGTAAAAAATACCAGTCTCATTATAAAGCATTAAAAAAAGAAATATTGATTTAGTCAGATATGAATTTAAAAAAATATTTTTTACTTTACAAAAGTTCTTTGAAACAATGTTAGAAAAGTGATAATATGGTAATTATTTACTTTTTGGCTTTATCTGCATTTAACACAAACATGAGTATCACTGAATTTATGATGTTGCTTTGGGAATGAGGAACGTGGAGTAGAAAATAGAAATGAATGAAAGATAATTGTGTTAATTTGTAGTAGTGAAGGTATTGATTAAATGGTAGTGGAATGGAGAAATAAAATAAATGTCAGCAAGTGAGGCAAGAAAAATGTTATATAATGTTTTAAACATCGAATCTTCAATGAAATTTTGATGTTAACTTGTTTATTTATTTTTAATCATTAGTCATATTGGTAATTTGATGATGGCTTAAATATCGGTTTTGAAGAAGTATTAAGAGAAATAATATGGCTTAACAAAAAATAAACTTTGTTGAGAAATAATATATAATCATCCACATACCATTTATTTTTTCAAAGTCGAGCTTTGTTGGGTCTTTGACTCGAATAAGAAATGATGCATCGTTGATTCCTTGATGAGGGGTAACTTCGAAAACATCACCATCTCCACTAATGAACATTTCAAAAGTTCCATTTTTTCCCTAGGGAAATAAATTGTATTGTAATTAGATTTATGTATGTACGCAGTCATATAAATTAGAACAAATTAGTTATTTTGATTACCTGATCGTAATCATACACTTGAGGAATAGCGGGGGGAAGGAAAGTTACAGGTGTGTTTGATTGGGCATTTTCATTGACTTGACAAATGTAACGGTCGCTGCGGAAGCGAGGGGTTTCGTCATTGATGTCTGTGATGATAATGGTTACTTCAGTCCTTGCCGTTGGTGGTGGAAAAACGATTCCCGATTCTTCTTTAGCCTTTAAAAGAAGAATTAATTTATGTACATTTTAAATTTTATGTACTTTATTAATGTATGTACATTTTAAAAATGAAGAATAGGAATAGAGAAAGAGAAATATTGTATTTAAAATAGTGCTACCCTACTAAATAGGATTGGCTTGATGTACCTTTTTGGAAACAAGATACATTTTTTTTGTATGAAATATCACATTGAAATATTATTATATGGTATATTTGAGTGTTGATATAAACCAGGAATCGAATGAAACAGTTAACTCTTATAATTAAAAGTAAAAATTTAACTTTTACATATAGCTATATATTTAGATGTATAAAAGTTTTTACTTTCATTGATACATGCCATTTCAAAACAGTTACATTCTTAACTTTTATTTTCAAACCTCATTAATATAAGTTTTTATAGAACAGTTTTTATTATTTATTTGAATAGGTTTTAATGAAAAAAAGTATTATGCTTTTACGTTTTTATTAACAGAAAATATAATCATCAGTATACAAACATAGCTGTATAAAACATTATAATAATTTGTCTATGCATTTAATGCAGAAGCAGATAGATTAATCTGTATATGGTTTATAAGGTACGGAACAAGATAGTATGTATTATATTAATTCAAAAACATTAGAGCTTTTACTTTTCTAATAAAAAAATTCTGATTAACAAATAAAATTTTGCATTGTATAATGTTCTCTAAGTTAACTTTGAAATATTTCTCAGGATCCCCAGAATTTATTAGTTTTCCACTCTGAGTACTCAGCAGTATACTAATTATGAACTTATATTATAATTTGTAATTTATTTTACTTTCAACTTTTATTTTAGAGTGAATAAGTAAAAGTTTACCAATTTTTTTATTTATTTTTTATGACATTTATATATGGATTAAAAAAGTAAAGAAATTTAAGATTTTTTACACAATTTTATATTATAATATTTAATTTTTATTTAACAGTTTTGAAAAAACTTTTACCTGTTAACCTATCATAGATAAAAGTTGTTTTTCAAATAGTTAAAGTTGAACTCATTCATAAAAAATAAAAAAAATGACAGTTTCAAACCCTGATATAAACATATCATACTAATAATTAATTTGTTATTTCTTTTCTTGCCTATCACTCCATAAAATTTAGAATTTTCAGTAATTTAAAAATTAGTTACAATTAGTATAATATTATAATATTTAGAATCAGTTCAAAATTACCTGGATCTCTAAAATGTAAGCACCATTATTATTATTAATTATGGCTTCCCTGTCTATGGCTTTTAAGGTATAAACTTTTCCTGTTGCTGGATCAATATCAAAAATTCCCTGAGCACCACTGACAATTGAATAAGATATTTGATTATTTATACCTCTGTCTCCATCAATGGCTCTTACTGTAACAAAAAAATAAAAAATAAAATAAAATAATATTATAAATTAATCAGGGAGAAATACATCTCAATTAGGATTTTATAATACCTTGAAGAACCGAACTACCAACTGGTGCATCCTCAGCTATCCTAGTGACAGGTGAAACCACTACAAATTCAGGCGGCTGGTCTTCGACGTCTTGAACCTTAACTACTAGAGCAGCCGTACCAGTATTTATCTAAAAATAAACAATACAATATCTCAGTTAAAATAAAAAATTCAAGGTACTATAAAATAAAATTTCTATTCAGGTACAGAAAAATCTGCTTTTTTAGTACCACCGGACCAGAAGACTATCTGCAGTTCAATATTCTGAATTTCGGCAAACCAAAAGCCATCAGAGATAGTGATGACTTCGTAATGATATACATAAAAGATGCTACCGTTAATATTGAATCTAATGAAGTATGTGAAGCATACAACTATCTTGTGACTGACATCATTTTTTGATTCAATGCAACAAATTTATCCAACCAAGAAATAGATATTTGTAGAAATTAATTGTTGAATCCAGGGAAGACATTCATGAAGAGGATATATTAAAGATAGATACTATAGAAAAATTAAATCAACTATATTATTTCATAAAAGAATGTTCATTGAACTGTTATATGGTATAGTTAATCACAACAAACAGATGTTAATGCATATTTATATTGTTATGTATTTATACCTCTACAATATTTTAAACAAATTATTACTTAAAAAATTGTTTTACTAATTACATATTTGTATATATTGTTTACTAAATTATTATTGATTAAATTTAATACTATGAATATTGTTAATTTCATGTTGGAACACAGTACTAGACTCTAAAATCTTACATTGTAATACCTATATATTTATTTGTACAAGAATTTCCTTAGACAAATCAAATAAATAAATAATAATAAAAAAAAAAATTACCCTATCGTTGTTCGATCTATCGACAGCTAATACCCTTAACTGATACAAGAACTTTCTTTCATAATCTAATTTCCCTACAAGCCGTAATACGCCTTTTCCATTAATGGTTGATATGCTAAATACATGGTCTTCGTTGTCTTGTTCTTGTAAATTATATACCACCTAAAAAGAAAATATTTTATTATTTAAAGACAAATTTTAAATAAAGCTAAATCTTATATAGGAAGTAAAATATTCCACTTTCTGCTTTGATTTCTAATTGTATATAATATTTTTCTTATTTAATTCATCATATTTTTGTATGGATAATCATATGATATTTTAATGTTAGATCACTTATTTTGTCTATCATGATGTTTGATGGCTGGTTACTCTTTGGGATGATAGAGATCAAATTAATAAAATTTCTGAAGAAAATGTAACTTGTATCTCTTTTATTCTGGATTTTCAATATATTTAACAATAATAAAGATTATGGGTCTATATCTTGATTAAAAAAAACACAGCCCTTTTTGAATAGGAGCTAAATTATTTCTGAATTCATCATACCTGACCATAAGGACCCTCATCAGCATCCGTGGCTTCCAGTGTTGCCAATATTCCAGGGCCACTATCCTCAGGAACAGTAATTGATGACTGGTACGGTTTAAAAACAGGCTCATTGTCATTAACATCTTCGACTAGAAGTAAGAGACTCTGGGTGATATAATTCCCTTCACCAAGTCTGCCATCGGTAAGCGTTAGCACCATCATGTACTCATCCCGGACCTAGAATATCAGTGTTAAAATTTATATAACTATTGTGAAAAATTATATTGTATAATGCTATTACAACAATGGGAAGAAATATTTCAAAATGTGTTGAAAAATGTTGAGATACAAGTTATTTAAAGACCAGAATGTCTTTAAGACATTGTCAATCTTCAGGAAAATCTATTTTTTATAAAGAACCAAATCATCACATGGATGTATCAAATATAAATGATAAATTTAGTACAACTGACATCAGATGAATTTTAACATTAAGAGGGGTAGTATTACAGGTGGTATAATAGAGTTTAGAGTAGGATGGTTTACGAAAAATAGTTTAAGCATAGTAGAAACTTTAGAATATTTTTATTTATTTATTTATTTTTTTCATTAAATTTGTCACTGCGTTGTAACGCATCAAGCAAATGTGTTGGAGTTTATTCTATCTTCTTGAATTCTTGATATTTTCTTAACTTTTCAGCAGAAGATCTCTAGGCCACTGCCTTTTTAGTCGTCTTGAGGCTCACCAGGTAACAGGGAGAAGATAGAGATAGAACGAGTGGATTTGGATGATTGAGAGTAGAAGAATGAAATGTTGTGTACTTGTTGTGTATGTAGGATTTTACTTTTGGTATGTTCATGTCTGTGTGTATGGTGTGATTTGAAATAAACCAAGGAGCATTGACGATTTTACGAAGTATTTTGGATTGTGTGGTTTGAATTTTGTTTATGTGTGTGTGTTTTGCGGAACCCTAAAGTTCTGCTCCATATGTCCAAATAGGTCTTAGTATGATGGTGTAGATTAGTCGATTGTTTAGTAAGTTGAGTGGAAATCTGCAGTCCAAAAGATGTGACAGTTGTTTGTATCGTCCTGGTCAGTTCATATTTTTTTAATTTAGTGTGAATGTTCCAGGTCAGTTTTTTGTCCGAGATACCGTACATGAGTTTTTGAGGGAATTGGTTTATTGTCTATTGTCACAGAATATTTAGAATATTTAAATTGAAACATTGGACTGTTATGATTGGTTAAACTAAACAATCATGTGGATAAAGATTTAAATAGTAAAGGAATTTAATGAGTAATTTATGTGTAAATTTTACATTATGAAAAGCTAAGCTGTTTACAGTTTAAATGATGCTTGGTTATTTGGACTCAGGACACCTAAAAAACTCAAATTTGAAATTTTTCATGATCACAATATTTTCTATACAATATTTAGGTAAGTGAAAGTAAAAAGCATATAAATTAAAAAAACTGTAATTAATACCTCTCTGTCAAGTTCCTTATTGAGATAAATATTAGCTTCACTGGTACCAAGGTTTTCTATTCTTATAACATCGGAACCAGGATAATCCCTTATACCAAATGTCAAAGGATCACCATCTGGGTCCATTCCTCGCAATCGATAAATTAAACTCCCTAAAATAATTTATTTTAAATAATATAGAAGTTTTTATAACACATGAATTGCAATTTTTAAATTATGGAATCAACAAAAATTGATTATTTATATAATTAAATAGTTAGTCAAAATATGATAATATAATTAAGGCTGTAGCTGCAAGAAGGATATGTATTCATGAGTTTCAAGATACGAACTGGCATAGATTTTTGACAGTCTGCCTGACAACTCCTATCGGTATTTCATGTCAACAAGTACTGAAAATTTATAGCAAAAAGGTCCAGTTTACCGTAAATACTTATATAACATTTTTATGAAGAATAATGCTTTATTAACCTTGTATCAAACATTTGTTTTTTAATAAATAAAACACATATCAGTTAATATTTAAAATAAATCATAATACTTTAATAAAATAAGGCTGTTTTTTTCACTTATACTTAGTGTAAATAAGCAATTTTATTTAATCATGCTTGTCACATGTAGTCCATAATCATAGCTTACAATTACACTTGACTTTAATCTGATTATGGACTACATGTAACAAGCATGATTAAATAAAATGGCTTACTAGCCGAAACGTAGCCAATGTAGATGTATCAGTGAAATAAATGTGGTGAAGCAATAAAAAAAGTAAATATATGCTTGAGTTGAATGTATATCAGCACTTAAAGACCTCAAGAAAATAAATTAAATAAATAAAACTATATACTTGAAGCAATAGTAAATTCATAGTAGGTAAAAACAGGAAAATTTACCCTCTCAAAATAACTAATGAGAAAAAAATAAGTCTGTTTAAAATATATTTATTAGTACCGATATTCATGATTGAACAATTCTAATGAATTGTTAATAAATTATCATTCATTAGATTTGAGTTGACTCACCTAATGAGAAATTAATTGTTGTAGATGTATCAATAAATTAATTATTATGCCCATGCCTACCACAATCAATTTTAAATAGTTCTATGATAATAGATATGGAATACTTAGGTAATCGATTTATTATAATTTTTCTCAAAAAAAGATAAAATTACTCCCAAATTCTGTGTTCACTTTGATAGTCCCCCTCTCCCAAAAAGTATCTCTGGATCCGCCTTTTGAATTTTGAAGGTAAATTCTAGACACCATATTGAAGTTATTAAAGCATTATCTATAAAACTAGGTATATGGACTAATAATCTCTCATTGCAGCTACAGTCTCAATTTTTATATAAGTTAAAATATAGATAATTATATAAGTAAAAATATTTAAATGTATCTTTTTATTTTGAACTAACCGACTGGCGTATCTGGACCCTCTTTAAGTCGCAGAACGATCTCAGTCTGGCCATCGATCAAGAAGCGAGGAGGGCGGTTCGAAAAAGCACCACTGGCGAGGCACGTCAGTCCAAGCCACCAGAACCACCATCCCCAGGTCATCCTATATTCGCTGGAGCATTGAGCTATTTCACATCTTAGCCAGCACCACCTGTTACCTCATCGTTTCTGAGTGTAGTTGAGTCAGAACACTGCAGAAGCGTACAGCCATCTTTCTGCAAAAAAAAAAAGAAAGGTAGTATTTAGTCAAAGCAATAGTGAATGAACTTAATTGACAGTAATAAGAGAAAAATATAAATAAATTAATACATAGTATATTCATGTTAAGTCATGATGAAAAATTTTATCACCCCTCAACAGTGAGTTTTATTTATCTTATTTTATTTTTCTTAATAATTGTCAATGCAAGCCCTTTTTTGCCAATACATTACTTAAATTGTTACAGCAAAATGAATTAAAACTGAATGCGAAACGATAAGTAATATTATTTTATTTTTATGAATTGGAAAAGATTCCATATTAATTTAGACATAGCATAATGGTGAAGAAAGGAAAGAGAGAAGAAATTTTTTGTTTTGTTTTATTTTTTTCTCAATTTACAAGATTCTATGTATTGTAGATATATTTTATTTTTACATTCTTAACATTATTTTAATTTTTATGAATTGGAAAGATTCCTTATCAGTTGTGACATGGAATTGTAATGAGAGAAAAAAGAAGAAATTGTTTGTTTTTATTTTTATTTTTTTTCATTCGATTTACAAGATTCTATGTATGAGCATTCATTCAAAGGCCTTAAGTAAAATGTATAAATAATTTATTTTTTTAACTTAAATTTTTTTTTCTTTTGTTGCAACAATGATTTCTCATAAAATTAATTTAATGCTCTTATCCAATTGTATTTATCTACTGATTGTTATTTTATTTCTCTTACGTTAATATGTCTGTAAGCTACGTATATATTTTTATGTTTAAAATGTTCATGACTTAACATAAAAAGTCATTACTTTTTCCTTACTTACTTTTGGTATTTTTTCGTTTCCGAAAGTTTTCTTTTTTCTTTCTATATATCGAATGTTTTTGTTTATTTATTTAATTTTTTTTCTTTCCATTACGACTATAATAATTCTTGAGAAGAATTTATTTTATTTTATAGTTGTTTACATAATATTATTCAAATGATTGTATATATCGATAGAATTTTTATTAAGTTAGTTTTTGGCCAGATATTTATTTCTTTCATTATTGTTATTCTAAGGGGACTTTGTCCCAGAGTAAAGTTTATTTTCTATTCTATTCTAATATTCTGTATGTAACTTAGTAGTTATATTAAATTTAAACATAAATAATTTAAAACTAATGAAACTTATGAGTTTTATAAAACAAAAACATAAGAAGCTTAAAATTTATTTTGTTTAAAAAATTGTCCTAATCGACGGGCATTATCTTTATTGATAGTAGAAAAAAAACAGATGTATCTTGGATCTTTTCATCCATGTATTGGCGTTATTTATAAAAAATGACATATTAAATTATTTCAAAACAAATAGATTTGGGGTACTTCATACAAATAAATAAACAATTTATTAATATCCAAAATCAGTTCATAAAAATAACATAAAACCCAAGGTTGTATAAAATGACATGAACATATGTATAGCACACAATTATATAGAAATAGCATTCGTGTAGTTTAAATATAAATTATTTAATAAAAAAAATGTGGAAACAATTTTTTATTAAATAAATACAACAGATAAATCAATAACTGATTTTTAAATTAACTCTATAATAATAAAATGCTTACCTAGTGGGTTAACATAATTTTAGATTAATAATACCTATTTATAATACCAATATTAATTACTACTATTAATTAATGAGCCATATCATGGGTGATAAATATTCAGGATGCAGTCTTTGTTTTTTAATTTTTTATTTATACCAAAGTTTCAACCCTAGGAAAAGTAGTGATACTCATATAGAAAGTTTCGTCATAAAAAATTACAAATTAATTTATTAATAAAAAAGACAAAAAATTACCTCAAGGTCCCACCGAGATTTGAACTCGGATCGCTGGATTCAGAGTCCAGAGTGCTAACCATTACACCATGGGACCTCTACGGGAGCTAAGGCCAGTTTTATGTATCTAACCACATTCAGTTATCCACTTTATAATCGTCATATTGTTTTAATAAAACAATTTACAATGACATTCGCGTTATATTCGTAGAATTAAATACATGTGACAATATGAATCAAAATTTCATGATACTGAATATATCAAAGATAGTCAAAACTAGTTCATGGTCAGAAACACAAAACAATAAGAATCGGCATTAGAATAATTTAATATGGATTTTATAAATATATTTTCTTAATTTATATATAATTAAAAATTTAATCAAACAATTTAAAATTCAAAAACAGCACAAATATAAAATAAAACATTTTTCTTGCAATCGGCAAGCGTATTTCATTTGTTTAAATTTTCTGATTAGTTAAATCTTCGATTTAGATCTTAACATTAATGAACTATATTAATGAATGCTGCTCATTTTTTATGTCGAATCTGAGCAGTAAGCGGACCCAGGATTTAATTTTTGGAAGCTACAGCCTGAAACCATTTTTCTTTTCTTCTAAATATAACGATAATTACTTGGTAAGAAAAAAAAAACTACCTCTATGGAATGGTTTTTAAGTAATTCATAATGCTCTATTAAAAATTATATTACAGAAACAACAATAATAATACTTTTAGTGATTTAATTTTCACTAGGGAGGTGCCCCTTGTCCGCCCAATGGCAGAATAACTCAAATGTTACCATACAAATTTAATTCACAATAAAAATTTAAGCTGAGTGTAAGGATTCCATCGATAAGGCAGCGGTGAGTTTAGGAACTTACCCGCTGCTCTATATCTTTACTGATTTCGGTCCGCTTTCGGTGATTATTTTATTTATGGAAAATTTAATTGTTCTATAAAATGATCATAATAAAACAAACATCTTTTGAGTTATTTGCAAATAAAATTTTAATTTTAATTCAAGGAAGGCAGTAATATTGTTTTGAGCGACTTGAGCCAAATACTTAACAATAAATATATGTTCTCTATTTTTAAATTATATAACTGTTCATTTATTTGTGCTACTCGTTGCTCAAATTGTATAAATTTAATTTACATATATTCTGTAGTTCAGGTTGTATTATTTTTTATCAACGTAAAATAAACGGAACGAAACCACAGTTCCGAAATTTTTTTAATTTCTTACAAATACAAATACAAGCAATTGATATTATTATGTAATAATAATTAGTCTTTTTGCCAATTTTTAAACATTGGCTTAAACAAATCATTTTAAACGTTTTTATTAGTGCCGACGTTTCAATCCAAGCATCAGGGCGGAAAATTGTTTAAGGGCAAGTTTAAACTGATTTCCATCGATGAGGTCAGCGATGAATTTAGGAACAAGCGCCAGATGCTCTATATCTTTACCGATTTCGGTCCCCTTTCGGTGATTATTTTGTGTATGGTAAATTTAATAGCTTGAGTTATTTACAAATAAAATAAAAATTTTAATTGAAGGGAGTATTTTTTTTGTTTTATTAGTCCATTTTTTTTTTGGTTCAGCCAAGTACTCAAACAATTAAAATATGTTTTCTATTTTTAAATTATAACGCATGTAATTCGGCTTCTAAAAGTAAGGACGTGTCAAGAAAAAAATAAATTATTGTTGTTCCTCAAATTACCATCATTTAGAAGAAGAGGGGAATAAATAATTAAAACCTGAATTTGGTATAGTCTTGGATGCACCACTTAAGAAAATTTAAAGGGCACCTATTGCATAGTTTTCTTCTTATTTTTTTTTTTTAACTAAATATTTTTGTATAACGATTTCGAAACACTTTATATTTTGACTTAACTTCATAAATTGCAGAGATGTGGGACTATAAAATCTCAAATCGCTTAAATATAGTTTACGCTGAATTATTATGTTTCATTTAAATAATTTAAAAGAAACAGTTCGAAAACAACAAGAGAAATGTTTCAACAGAAAGGCGAGAAACTTAACTTTTTATATTTATTCAATTATTTTATGGAAAGTATTCCGGACCTATTCGGTCATTTCCAAAATTGACTTTGCTATAAGAGGCTTCGCTTATCACTTAATCCATTCCTGTAAACAACATTAATTAAAATAAAGAAAATGTATTTGATTCTGGAACACAGATTCCCCTACGGATAAAGTTAATGTACAACTGCAGTGTAAGCTGTATATATAAAACTATTTTTTATTTATTGTACATCTCTTTCCTATAAAGTTCCTATGAAGTCGTTGCCATGACGACTATCTCAGCACAGCTCTTCTATCCTATATATTTTTCTTAAAAGGTGTTTTTTTGTCTTTACGCCATAACTTCGCCAATTCTTCATCAAATTCTATGATTAACTACTCATTTTGAAGGTATTCTTCTTCTTCACATGCGAAAAATAATCCTATCCCCCGAAATTTCTGGGAAAAAAGTTATGAAGGAAAAGAAACTTTATTTGCGAATAACTCAAAAACCATAATAATTAGAAAGATTACTAAATTACCTAATAAACAAAAAAAAAAAAAAAAAATCGTAAAAATCGGACAATTATTAACAAAAATTAGTTTTGGTGTACTTAATAATGTCTTTCTGTTTAAAGACATTTAGGAGTAGAATAGTCTACTACACTTTTTTTTCCCTGGTAATATATTAACTTTATTATTTCTTAAAGGTATTTGTTTGTTCTTAAATTGTATTTGTTTAATAATTTAGAAAATCCCATGATCGGGGCATTATTACTTTTATTATCTTTCCAGTCAGCGATTAAAAATAGGTCCTAGCAAAGCAATTTGTACAAATATTTAGGTCTATTTTGTTAAATGGAATATTGCAATCGACCAAGGAAAAAATATTAATTCCTTCCTTACATAATACATAGGATCTACTTATTTCCATATTATTTTTCTATTTCTTCATTAAACTAAATTTTCTGAGAATTATTGGCACGGACTAACTAGTAACTATAATATAATATACTAAACAAGAACTGTGGGAGCTGTAACAGACTG